ATGTTATTTTGCAATAATATTGCATTAATGTCCTGTCATAATGTGGTGTATTCAAAATTGCTATTAATTTAAAAAATACGTGAAATATTTACGTATTATTATTTTTAAATATTAAAAAAGAGATATTTACTTGCTCTTTAAGAAAAACGTTGATTTAAAGATTTTAAACCTTTAAAAATCTCAAAAAACGGCAGAGCACAAATAGATAACTAGAGCTTTCTGTACAATTTACAGTGCCTCTCAAACCCAAGAAAGTTTAAATTAAAATTAAACAGAAAATATCTCACATAAAATTAATAATTAGGTATATTGTTGCTTACACTTATCTGTATTTTTTTTCAATGTCCCTTTAGCCCTTTTAAATATCTATAAAAACAATATTCTTTACATAAAAATGTCTAGTATGAATTTTTCATTTACCGAATTACCGGTAAATTTTTGAAATTTATCGGTAAGTTTACCGAATGTTTTTTTGTCAATTTATCGGTTAACCGGTAAATCGGTAAACCGGTATACAATCCCTAATGGGTACGTCAGTGATGTAGCATGGGTGTCAGCCGCCCGGGGCAGAGGAAAATTTCGCCGCCCCCTTATTTAGGTACCTCAATTTAAAAGACTAAAATTCAGTTTTGTCACAGAATAAATAATGAAAAATTCTGTGCTCATTTCAATTGGTCCAAATCGTAGGTGTGACAAAAATATGAAATGAAATGGTTCAAATTTTTACAAGATATTATTATTTATTGTAAAATTTTGTCGCCCCCCACTATGCTACGCCATTGAGGTACGTTGCACAGACGTATTATTATTGTAAGAATAAATTATTGAATTAAGATTTTTAAACATAAGTGAAAGCAAATTGTTCAACTTTAGCTTTGCGGGATACTTTCAAAACCTTTTGGTCGACCGTGGTCTCCGTGTTGGCCATCCCTGCTGTAGATAGTTAACTTGACCTAACTTTTAAGTTACTCTTCAGCAGTGGACTGGAAAAAGATAACACTGAAGAGACACCATTGATATATTCTTACTTTAATTTTGATTTATTATTTCTGATCTGTAAGACTAAATTTCTGCATCCATAAATCCAGTATAATAAGCCCTATTAATTGATAAAGTATTAGTATACAAGATAAATATTAAATTAAGATATAGGACACAAAGGCATAATAATTATTTTAGGATTATTTTACTGACTTTCAATTCCAGATTTTCCAGTATTTCTGATACAGATTTTGTATAATAGAAATTGAGATACAGTTGGACCCTGTTTATACATTTCTCAGTTGTACATTTTTTTGCAAATATACATTAAATATTTTTTGTGCAACTTTTTCTCCAGTATAAAATACTTCATTTATATGATTTTATGCTTATATGTCACATTTTTCAGTACCTACAGTGCTTTTTCCTTATGTGTTGTTCACTTTAAAATGAAAAAAATCAGTGATTATTAAAAAAACTGAAAAAGCAAATTATTTATTCACTTCAAATAAGTCCACATTAACAGTGAATTACCAGCAAATGAAAAAAGTAGAGTGAGTAATTCATAGTATGTGATACCTATTACTGACAAATTTTCCATTAAGCAATTGCTCTGTTAATCCAACAATTGAAAATTTTTGCTTTCCATATTTTGTAGTTTGAACCATTTTGCTAAGAGTGATTAAAAATTACTTTCTGGTTTCTCATATGTTTTCACTATTTGCTGTCAATGTATATTAACATTTAGATTGTCTTCTCATTCTTTCATATAACTGGAATTACTTTTTCATAATTAAAAGAATTTAATAATAGATGCCTACTTCTTGTTTGTTATTTCTACCCTAATGATGACCAATAAGACCTTTTAGTTATGCCCTTCATGGGTAGCTGGCTGGATGATTGAAGCAGTAAGGTTTTAGTCTACTTTTCTGGGAGAACCTGGATCAATTCTGGATGGATGAAAAACTGTGTGAATTTTGGGGCCTGTTACATCAAACCCATTTTTCACCATCTAGTCTGACCCATTGTTGTCTTGACCAAAGTCAAGATGAATTTGATTAAAAAGGTCCTCTTATTGCCCACAGGATAGAAAGATGAGGGAAAAGCTACCATGTATTCAGTCAGGTCTGTAATAGGAGGAAACCAGGTAGTGAATGACAGGTTCTGATGTAGCTGGGACAGAGTGCTATGAAAAATTTTTGTATTTTGCCTGGATTTGATCCTGGGTCCTGTAGAATGGCAACTGGCTGTCAATGTATCTCTAATTGTGAGCGCTACTAACAAGGAGAGCCTACGGCTTTGGGGTAACGGATTTTGATGATCTTTGGTTTAGAGGTAGTACACCATGTGAGTGTACTACCTGTAAAATACTAAAGTGCAATACTCAAATATAATCAAGAAAATCGAGCTTAAAGTTTTTTAGCACTTTATATATAAATTATACGTACTTCTATTTGAGCGTCCTGTGGCAGAGTGGTAACGAGTCCGATTCATAAGCTTGAGTTCTCGGGTTCGATTCTCGCGTATAATTTTTTTTTTTAATTCATAAATACTTATAATGTATTTATTTATTTACTCATTCATTTATTTCTTATTATTTATTTATTTTAATTTAATTTCTACTATTCCAAGTCTAATATTTTTATACTTTTGTTGACAATAACAGCGCATTCTTGACACCTATGTGTCAACTTTCCCATCTAATTGTTATCACTAACGGTGACCGATCTAATTCTCACTAGGAGCGTTTTTCTATCAGAGTTCTTTTTCACTCACTCTTTAACAGTTCGTTTCTAAATTTCGACACGAATAGACGTATTTGTGTAGTAAAACTTATTTTGAAAAATTATTTTATAATCGAAAAATGTCGTCAAGAGAAGCAAGTTCTTCACGTTGTGACGAAAAAACTGTTGATGATAACTTTTTATACAGTGATGTAAAATACTAACTTGTAAAGTGCAAAACTCAAATATAACCAAGAAAAACGAATATAATTTATTGAAGCAATATTATATAATTACATATCATTGTCAGATGTACATGATCGTGAATGATACTTATGATAAAAACATTCAAAACAAAAATTCTGTCTACACCAAGAACAACAAATAAATGCTGCTTTTTTAAAAGGTATCATCAACAGTTTTTTCGTCACAACGTGAAGAACTTGCTTCTCTTGACGACATTTTTCGATTATAAAATAATTTTTCAAAATAAGTTTTACTACACAAATACGTCTATTCGTGTCGAAATTTAGAAACGAACTGTTAAAGAGTGAGTGAAAAAGAACTCCGATAGAAAAAACGCTCCTAGTGAGAATTAGATCGGTCACCGTTAGTGATAACAATTAGATGGGAAAGTTGACACATAGGTGTCAAGAATGCGCCGTTATTGTCAACAAAAGTATAAAAATATTAGACTTGGAATAGTAGAAATTAAATTAAAATAAATAAATAATAAGAAATAAATGAATGAGTAAATAAATAAATACATTATAAGTATTTATGAATTAAAAAAAAAATTTTACGCGAGAATCGAACCCGAGAACTCAAGCTTATGAATCGGACTCGTTACCACTCTGCCACAGGACGCTCAAATAGAAGTACGTATAATTTATATATAAAGTGCTAAAAAACTTTAAGCTCGATTTTCTTGATTATATTTGAGTATTGCACTTTAGTATTTTACAGGTAGTACACTCACATGGTGTACTACTTCTACACCAAAGATTGTCAAAATCCGTTACCCCAAAGCCGTAGGCTCTCCTTGTAAGCTAATTTATAATATTGTCTAAATCAAGCATGGACGAGCTGTAGTCTTTCATGATTTTTTCTATGGTCTGTGTATTTTTAGGATCCTTAAAAATATTTGTTATAAGTCATGGTAGCCAGTGACCTCATTATAAACATCTGTTTTGATAGTGATTAAAGAAATGAAGAATGCTTCCCTTAATTTTAATTTAAGAGCAAATCAGAAAATTTGAATTTATTTTTGCAGGGAGCTTTATTGTTAAAAAATCCTATTATTGTGAAGCAATGTATACAAGAGAATAATGCTTTGTACTTTGTGAATAATGCTTTGCTTAAGTATTAAAACAGAAGAATAATTATTAATATAAGAGTAGTATAAAAAATATTACAAAATAAAATTTATGAGAAAAATCAAATCACATATTGTCAGATTTTCTTAGAGCTCTTATCCAAAATAAAAAATCTTTAATATTTGTTAATTTAATGCATTGATAATTATTTGAATTTTTAATCATAAAAATTTTGGATTTTGGAAATTCTGGAAGTTTAATCAGTTATTAGGTTTGATAAAAATTAAACAATGTCACTGTCTATTTTTTTATCAAATTACATTGATAAGTTATTAAATTTTCAGCACAAATATAACTGGAAAAAATCTGACAATATTTAATTAATTGATTGAATTTGATAAGCATTTACTAGATATTTATTGATTGAATTTATATAAGTATGAGATTGATTTATATGCCTGCATTTACAGTATGTTTATAGAAAAATATATGCATAATATATGATTTTGAATTGAATAAGATTCATAATAAAATGCTCTATTATGAATTAAGAAAATAATTTGATTTTTTTAATATCATACATCAGTAATGATATTTTTTATTTTATGCCTACATATAATTATTTTTAGCTTATACCAATTGTTTTACCAATAGTAATCAATCAATAGTAATCAATAGAATCATTTACATTCTGTAGAATATAAATGATTAATATTGGTAAAACACTAAGTCAATACTAAGTATACTAAGATATTATTATGTAGTTGTGTTTACTGATTTACAGTTTACGCATTGTAGGTAAGAATAAGATTAACCTGCTGCAATGAGTTTAGAATAAAAATTAAAATGCATTGGATCTTTATTTTTTCTTTTAGCATTAGTAAATGTAAGGAGAAGTTTTAACTATAAAAATTTAAAATTCTTATTAAAATCTGTTTAAAATAGAAAATAAACATTAATTTAATTATTTCAATTTTAGATTTAAATTTATGATGTATAGTTTTGATGGTGAATTTCGTCAACGTCCAGAACAATCATTGGGTGGAGCAAGCAAAAAGGCAAGTAATTTAAGTTACGAAATCATATTTATTTTATATAAGTATTTTTTGAGTGAATATAATTATGCTATCATATTATTTTGATTTATTATCTATTTTATAAACTATTGAGGTTTGTATGTTGTTTCATTAAGCTGTCTAATTTTTGATTGTTTTCTTTGAGTAGATAGGAAAATTTATGCTGTTTTTATTTTATAAAAAGTTTTAAAATTTACTATTAACAATATATTTTATGAAGTCTAGTTTACAAAACAGATTTTAGTGAATGCAGTTTTTTCGATATAATAGGATACTACAGTTGAATATACAATAGAATCTGTTTATTGTTATCATTTTGGGAGTTGTCTGTACTGGTAATAATAATCAGCTGATAACATTAAATGGTATAAGTAAATAAGGCTACAATTAGTGAAGATTCTATTTGTAGTTTTATTGAATTTTACATTAAAAGGAGATGTTAAAACAATTTTAGAAAATGTATAAATTTATTGTTCATTAATTATAATAATTTAGCTAGTTTTTGTTTGCTTGCTATTTTCAGTTTAACAAAATTGTCATTAATAATAACTAGTATAAAATTGAAATAAGAAATGCTAGCAATTTAAACTACTATATTGCTAACAGATAATAATTTATACAATTAACTTTTAAAGTGTGTTTAGACTGGTGATTATATTCAGACTGATAATGCAAAAAACAGCTTAAAAATAGTCATTCTTTTAATGATAAAGGACAACTATAATTGAAACTCTGATTACAATAAAATTAAATATGTTTGTTTATATAATATATATTATATTACATAAATAAATTTAATATAATGTATATTAAATTAATAAATTTATATATGTTTTGGGATATGCTGATTTTAGTAAGTAATGCAACTACTTCAACAAAAGTTAAAGAATTATATTCACACTTTTTTGTTTTCTGAAACTGTTTTTTACTATTTATTTAGTAATTACTCAATTATATTCACACTATTGAAATACATTGGAAAACACTATAAAAATATAAACAAATGTGAACTGTGAAAGCTCAGTTACATTTAACAATTCTTGCACATTTTTCAATAGATTCAGCTTGTAAGTGGTAAATATATTGAATATTTATTCCAATTGGCCATCATTTAAATTTTATTTCTTACAGAAACATTACAGATATATATTTTGTCTTCATTCATTCAAAACGATGCATCTATTTTGAAACTTTCATGGTTTTATTTCTGCTAGTTAATCATTTTTTGGTGAGAGCTCTGTCTGCAAACATAATTAAAAATGATATAATTATCAATTTTCTGATTTATAAATTTATAAAATAATATAATTCTGATTTTGAAATTTTGTTAAAATATATTGTCTAACTATAAGAAAAGAATATTATTCCTTCAATATGATGTTACATTTTGTCTCAAAATCTTTTAGGAAAGATTATAAAGATTATATAGATTATATAAAGTGTCACATGTGGCATTGTTTGATATTAAGAGTATTTCTTTTATTTTTAAATATTTTTATAGTTTCTTTGCATCCTTGCTTTTATAAGATTTTTCAGTCAGAAGATGGTTATACTGATAATTATAATTGTGAAATTATAAAAATATTAAGTTTAAAAATATTCCATAACTTAAAAATATTAATATTCTTGTCTTCTATTTATATTGTGCTTGCTTTTTTTTGTATTATGTCTCAGTATTGTATTCTGATATAATCAGATTTTTTTTAAACTAATTATTAATTACTTTTTAAATTTTACAAATATAATTTAACATTGGAAATGAAAATGGTAGGAGAAGGAATAACATGATGACAAATATTAATTGTTAAGTCTTATTTTGCATTTTTAGAATGAAATAGCAAAAAAATAAATAAATTTTATTTCGCATTTAACTTTAATTTTATTTTACAAAAGTTGAAATTTTTAACTGGTTTTTTTACATTTTATACAACAAAGTACTGATATTATGGAATAGCTAAAGATGGTAGTAAGTTACCATAAACATTTGTATTTGTTTCTTTAAATAAAACTTTACATTTCCAATGAAGTAAAATGTATATATTACCAGAATCTTTCTGGTTATAAAATGATAATACAAATTTTAATTCAATTTTTTTTATGTAAAAATGAATAAAATTAAAATTTTAGTTTTTACTTAAGGCAGATTTAATCATTTTTATTTATCAAGGTATTGCTTATTTTATTACTTTTATTTTTATTTTTATTTATTTATTTAGCATTCTGGTACAAAGACCCTGATGCGGGGAAATAGCATAAAACAAAGTATACAAAAACATTACAAAATAATATACACATTTCACAGATTATATCCGTCCATTGCAGTAACATAATTTAATATTAATAGAAAATTACACAATTCAAAAAATTATTTTAAACCAAATTCAACAAAAGGAAAAAACAAAAACTTAAACTACATGGGAGAACTATCCGAAAAAAAAAATAAATAAATCCGAAAAAAATAAACAACCAACTAGGTTAAAAAACTTACCTAAAAAAGAAAAACAACAGTTTATATCGCTCTTTCAAAAAAATCGGATAGTCTCCCAAGCAGTCCAAGCAACCACAGGTTAAATAATAGGCAGACCACGCCCCAAACCGAAATTTACATAAAAAATAACCACTATTTTCACTTTAAGCCTAAGAACAAAACAGAAAAAATCAAATATATTATAAACATTATGAAATAAGCAATTTAACCTTCTTTATAAAAATAAATACCTTAAAAAATAAATCAAAATCAGAAATAACTTTTTTAAACTGATTAAATGAAAAACAGGGAACCCCAAAGGTCTCCTCACGTAATTTTGACAAAAAAGTACAAACAGCGATAATATGAAACGCATCCAATGGCGAGTCAGCCACACCACATACGCAACTGTCTCTTCTGTAATTACATAAAAAACTTAATGAATTACACCTTATTTGCATTAATACAGCCATAACATTAGATGAAAAATTACTATTATAAATAAAACAATCAAAAAAGGGTTTGTTCAGACTCTTATACCACTCACAGTAAGAACTTAATAATATACCATGATTCAACTTCGAAATATAATTATCAAAATTATTTAACTTTAATAAATAAACACTATTAACATCTTGTAACAAATTATCAAAATTGATTCCGTTCCTTGCACAATTAGCCAACCAATACTTCGACCAAGGTAACTCAGCTTGTTTCAAAATAAAACTCAAACAAATTTTACTAAGACGTTTATCATTTAAACTCAACGTTCTAAAAATCCAATTAACATATCTGTTCAAGATCAAACAAGATAAAGGAATCAATGAACACTCCATAGACACTAAATAACCAGGAGTGCACCTTGGAAGCCCATACATTCTCTTAATAAAAGTAACTAATACTGTATTCAAGCTTTCCGCCTGAAAACCCCACACCTCGGAAGCATAAAGAAGAGATGAACCCACCACAGCATTAAATAACCTTAACCGATCCTTCAAATTACACAACTTTGCAGACTGACACATTTGAATAACTTTGTCCATTTTTATCTCTGCATTAACTTTACAGGACCTCACATGGGTATTAAAATAACCATTACTTTTAAAAATTACACCTAAATACTTATATTGTGATACAACCGAAATTGGAGCATTTCGAAACCACCACTTATCAGCCTTAGAAACCTTACCACCATTTCGAAAGACCACAATTTTAGATTTTGCAAGATTCAATTGTAAACTATTATCCTTTAAATATTTATCCAAAAG